GCGAGGCGGACACGAGAGGCCATGCGACGGGATCCAGCCCGTTGATCATGGATCCGACGATCCGGATTCATCCTGTGCATGCCCGAACCCGTTCCGTAACCCTAACTCGAAATCTGCCTCGTTCTCACGATAGGATGGATCAAATGACGTAAAATTTTAAACAAAGATTATAGAAGTGAAGAGCATCCCATGGGGAGTTTGCTTCAAATCCTAAAACGCATTGAATAACAAATTATTTAAATCTAAGTGTTATAACCTAGGGTTTCTATTTTACATCAATCCAAATGGTGGATTCGGGAGTTCTTGGGCTTGTTGTACGTGTAGACTCTCCACGCACAATTCTCCTGTTGAACTCGAACCTTGATACGCCTTGGATCGAGTTAGAGAAGCCCTTGAACGAAAATTCCCTCGGGTGGCAAGAATCCTCGTCGCCGGTGAGGTGTCACTGTCGGGTTTGGCTTGGGAAGTGTGGGGAAAGGTTGTGGGAGCTCTCACCTCAAAGATCTCGGGTTATGGAGGCTTGGGGAGAGAGCAAGAGCAAAAGGTCCTAAATTATACAAAATTTTCAATATTTAAAGCCTCTAGACCTAAGGTGGACGGTTGGGATCAGATCACCGGTCAATTGGGAGGGAAACCAGTCTATTTAGGCCGTGGTTTGAATTCAAAATTGATTGGAGGCTTTAATTGCAATTAATGGGCTCTTAATTGAGCATAAATATGTCATTTTGACCTATTTATGACTTGGTTTGACCAAGTCAATTAAGTCAGAAAGGAGGTGGGCTAGGCTTATGAGACATTGAAATGGATTTGAAATTGAATTAGGCACATTAAGGCCAATTGGGTCAACCTGGGTTGACCTGGCCAACTAGGTTGACCCAGGGCATGGGTCTGAGCCCAAAACACTTGACTTGACTCCCTAAACCCATTGGGATGGGCCCTGGGGTCTAGCCTGGCCAAATTTGACCAGGTCAACTCTTTGACCTGGTATGGGAGAAAAAGTAGGTCAACAGGTCCATGAGGTTTTATGTGCATGCATGAGAATTCTGAAATGATTTTCCCTATGAGCAGCACAGCGTTGGGTTGGCAATGCTTTGGCATTGAGCTCTCCAACAAAATTTTGAAAAAAGAACTAACATTATGGCACTATGATAGGGGTATTGCAATGCCATGCTCTCCAGTGGGGAGTGTTATGATGCTGCAGGGTTGAGTACTATGGCGAAAGGTCTGCTTTTTATAAAATTATCCAAATTTATTTCAAATTCATTTTATCAAAATATAAACCCCTCCCTAGTCGATTAAAAAGAGAGGGGAAAGATATTGGTGAGAGCAATCTAGATTTTAGGTACTCCGATCTGTTTTCAGCTGTCGATCCAATTCAATAAATTCCTTAGATTGAGGCAGGCTACATTTTATATATCCAGTTTTCAAAAATACAAAAAAAGGGATCTTCCTTATTTAATTTATAATTTCATAGTGAAAAAAATGAATATACTTTTTTTCTTGCAAAACTTTAACCCTATAACTTTAAGCATTTTCTAGGAAATTTACAGTGGTAGTTTGGAAAGTGCGCTATTTTATTTAACTAAAAAATAATTATGATCCCAAAAAATAATGTTGATGTAATATTAAAGCATCAAAATAATATTCTGAATTATCCCTGGTAATCTGGTTATATTATGAAACGATAAAATTATGCTCTATAGTTAAATATGTTATCAACTAGTAAAGTATTATGTGAAATTCTAAAATTTCTTTATTTACATTGATTTTATTTCAATATAATGATATATAAACTTGTCCATTTTAATTGTGTGGTTATGAGATGATAGGATGTATGATGGAAGTTATGTTATAGTACAAAATATATAAGGAGTAATAAGGGTTTCAATATATTATATGTGTTAAGCATTGGGAGTCATAAGACATATTTTTTTTTATATGCTAGCAAAATGAGTTATTCTAATATAAGGTATAAGGGCTTCATGGTTATCTTTAATTTTCTATTATGATATATAGAGTATTTATTTATTTACTTTCCCTACATTGTCATTGAAATTATGGACAAATGTAAGTAATATCCTATTCAATATAGTAAATTAATATTAACTACTCTCAAAACTCAATTGAATGCTTAATAAGTAAAATATTTGGAGATTTAGGTTGGTGGGTGTAACATGCTGAGTTGTGTTGGCTCGCACCTACTCTACATTGAATTTCAGGTCGGGAAAATATTTTACTTATTAAGCATTAAATTGAGTTTTGAGAGTAGTTAATATTAATTTACTATATTGAATAGGATAATACTTACAATTGTCCAAAATTTCAATGACAATGCAGGAAAAGTAAATAAATAAATACTCTATATATCATAATAGAAAATAAATGATATCCATGAAGCCCTTATACCTTCTATTAGAATGACTCATTTTGCTACCGTATAAAAAATATATATATGCCTTATGACTCCCAATGCTTAACACATATAAGATATTCAAACCTTTATTACTCCTTATTTATTTTGTACTAGGACATAACTTCCATTACACATCCTATCTTCTCAGAACCACACAATTCAAATAGACAAGTTTATATATCATTATATTGAAATAAAATCAATGTAAATAAAGAAATTTTAGAATTTCACCTAATACTTTACTAGTTGATAGCATATTTAACTATTGAGCAGAATTTTATCGTTTCATAATATAACCAGATTACCAGGGATCATTCAGAATATTATTTTGAAGCTTTAATATTACAACAACATTATTTTTTGGGATCATAATTATTTTTTAGTTAAATATAATAGCGCACTTTCCAAACTACCACTATAAATTTTATAGAAAATGCTTAAAGTTATAGGGTTAAAGTTTTGTAGGAAAAAAATTATCTTCATTTTTTTCACTATGAAATTATAAATAAATAAGGAAGATCCTTTTTTTTTTTGTATTTTTGAAAACTGGATATAGAATGTAGCCTGCCTCAATCTAAGCAATTTATTGAATTGGATCGACAGCTGAAAACAGATCGGAGTACCTAAAATCTAGATTGCTCTCACCAATATCTTTCCCTTCTCTCTTTAATCGACTAGGGAGGGTTTATATTTTGATAAAATGAATATGAAATAAATTTGGATAATTTTATAAAAAGCAGACCTTGCGCCATAATACTAAACCCTGCAGCATCATAACGCTTCCCACTGGATAGCATAACATTGCAACACCCCTATCCTAGTGCCATAATGTTAGTTCTTTTTTCAAAATTTTGTTGGAGAGCTCAAGGCCACATCATTGCCAACCCAGCGCTGCGCCGCTCCTAGGGAAAAATATTTCAGAATTCACATGCATGCACATAAAACCTCATGAACCCACTTTAGAAAAGATTTATATACTCTCATGCATACAAAATAATCACAGACACATGTAGAAGACATGAATATATATATATATATATATATATATGAATTAAAATGAGAGAAAATAAGGGAGAAGAAGAAAACTCACTTTCGCTCACTTTCGTTGGCTACTTCAGTCAATGAAGGGCGAATATGAGCAACTTCGCTATTCTTTGACTTCGCTATAAGAATAGAAAGAGGAAGAGTCGAGGAATAAGATAGAAAGTTGGCTGCTAATTATTAGGAAGGAGGAGGATTCAACGGATACAATTAGGGTAAGGTGTGTGAGAGAGAAGTTGACAACTACGAGAGGATGAATTGTCGGACGATGAATGATGGCTTAGCATCAATCATCTTAAAATGGTAAGATAGAGGTTACAGGCAGGAAAATCATGCGAGGAGGAACAAAATCACTTCATTTTGCATGATTAGGGAAGACTTCTGTCACATAAAAGGTGTTTTAGGATTCAGTTCAATTACTGGTTAAGATATTTTATATACATGAAAAAACAATGAGTTATGCATGCAAATCCTAAAGCAGAAGCAGCCATGAGCAGGTTTCCTAAACTTCGCCCTATCTTTAATCGCTGTCTCCAAGCCCGATGCTCTTCTCCACCATTCTTCTCGACTTCCGATGTCATCAAAGACTCGGGAACTGACGCCGAAGCCGTTGCCCGCGAGATCTCCAGCATCCTCGCTTGTGCCGGTAACTGGAACATCCTCATCGCCTCCTCCGACATCCCCGGCCGAATTACTCCTGAAGCCCTCTCCGCAGTTCTTCGGCGTCGGATCAACTTAGTCGATGCTAGGCGTCTCCTAGATTTCTTTGCATGGGCTGATTCCCAAATGGGCCGGCCCCCGAATCTCGAGTCATTCAACACACTTGCAGTTCATCTCTGCAACTCCGGCTTATTCGGCCCTGCCAACGGCCTCTTTGAGCGGATGATCAGCATTTACCCGTCTCCTTCCTCTGTCCTGGATTCTCTGAAGGACAACTTCATTGCCATCCAAGGATCGACTTTAAAGGTTTTTGATGTACTGATTGACACTTATAAGAGGAATGGTTTGCTTAAAGAAGCATCCGAAGTTGTTTTATTGATGAAAGGAGGGAGCTTTACGCCTAGCTTGAGGTGCTGCAATGGGCTTTTGAAAGAGCTCCTAAGGGCTAATCTCATGAATTCGTTCTGGGAGGTGCATGATTTCATGCTGAGAACTCAAGTTGGTCAGGATGTTTACACATTCTCCACTTTGATTAGTGCTTATTTCAGGGTTGGAGATGTGCTTTCAGCAAAAGGAGTGATAGCGGAGATGGGAGAGAAAGGTTGTGATCCTAATGCTGTGATATATAACACACTCATTGGAGGTCTTTGCCGGTGTGGTAACTCTAAAGAAGGAAGATTACTTTTAGATGAGATGTCATCGAAAGGGATGAAACCTGACATTATTGTGTACAATTATTTAATTGATGGGTTTATGAGAGAAGACAGCATGGACGAGGCTTTCAAAATAAGAGATGATATGGTGGCTTCAAGCATCCAGTCCAACCTAATTACTTATAACAATCTTATTCGTGGATTATGCAAGATGGGTAAGATGAATGAGGCTCATGAGCTCTTGAAGGAGATGGTTCGAGTTGGTTGGAATCCAGATGCAATGACATATAATTTCATTATTGAGGGACATTTCCGTGAGAACAATTCAAAATATGCATTTCAAGTGTTTGTTGATATGAAAACTCGATTTGTGTCTCCTAATGTGTATACTTACAGCTTGATGATAAGTGGTTTATGTCGTGGTGGAGAGTTGAAGAATGCTGTTAGTTTGTTGGAAGAGATGATTGCAACGGGCCTCAAGCCAAATGCTATTGTGTACTCTCCTATTATTTCCGGCCATTGTAGAGAAGGCAGGGTTGAAGAGGCATGCCTGACATTCAACAATATGAAGGATAGAAATGTTCTTCCGGATGCTCACTGCTATAATTCTCTCATCAATGGCATATGCAAGGCTGGGAAGATGGAAGAGGCTAAGCACTATTTGGCAGAAATGAAGGAGAAAGGGATTTCTCCAAATGCATTCACATATGCCTCTCTCATCCATGGCCATAGTAAAGGTGGAGAAATGAGTGAAGCAGATTTTTACTTCAAAGAGATGCTTACTCGAGAAATAAAGCCGAATGATGTCATCTACACCACCCTCATCGATGGCCATTGCAAAGCAGGTGACATTCCAAAGGCCTTATCAACATTTCACTTTATGTTGAGGAATGGGCTGCTACCTGATTTGCAAACATATAGTGTTTTTATACACGGCCTTTCAAAGATAGGGAAGATGCAAGAAGCTTTACAGGTCTTTCATGAGCTTCAAGAAAAGGGTTTACATCCAGATATATATACTTACAGCTCTCTCATCTTTGGTTTTTGTAAGGCTGGTGACATGCTAAAAGCTATGAGTCTTTATGACGAGATGCACAAAAATGGCATTGAGCCAAGTGTTGTTACTTATAATGCTTTAATTGATGGATTTGGCAAGCTGGCTGATTTTGATAGCATGAGAAGGTTTTTCAAGTGCATTCAGGAGAAAGGTTTAGAACCTAGCAGTGTTACTTACACTATAATGATTGATGGTTTCTGCAAATCTGGATACTTAGCTGAGGCTTTTGAGTTGTTTGATGAAATGTTGTTGAGGGGAACCCTCCCTGATCGTTTTGTTTACAATGCTCTACTTCATGGCTGTTGTAGAGCAGGGAACTTAGAGAAGGCCATGGATTTGTTTAATGAAATGTTGGTGAAGGAATTCGCAGCTGAGCTCACTTTTAACACATTGATTGATGGTTTCTGCAAGCAAAGGAGGCTGGAAGAAGCAAGGGAATTGCTGAGACTAATGTTGGAGAAAAAAATCATGCCTAATAATGTGACATACACAGCCTTGATTGATGGGCATTGCAAAGCAGGTAAATTGGAAGAGGCGCACAATTTATTCTCAGAGATGGAGAAAAGAAACATAATGCCGAATACCGTAACATATACATCACTTATATATGTATATGGTAGACTGGGGAACCTTGGAATGGTTTCTTCTTTGTTTAAAGAGATGGTTACAAAGGGTGTTGTGCCTGATGAAGTAACTTATGAAGTAATGATTCATGCTTATTCTAAAGAAGTGGATGCAGCTGAGGCCTTAAGGTTGGAGGATGCTTCTGTTAAAGAAAATGTGCTCGTTTGTAACAACACATGTGCTGCAGAATTTCCTGGCTTAAACCAGCAGGAAGAATTATGCAAAGCTCAGGATTTGGTTAATGAACTGAAAGAGCATGGAATCAACCCTGATGAGTCTGACTTTCAGATGCTATTCCATTGTCTCTGCACAAAGGGGTTCATGAATGAAGCAAAAGAACTTTTGAAAATTATGGTGGACAGAGGTTTGGTGCTTAAAAATAATACTTCGTTTAGTTTAGCGGATGGGTCTTTTCAGATAGCCCCGGCTATTGATGTCAGATATGTCTCACAGAATTAGAAAGGTTCTATATTTGTAACACAGATTAACTGAAAAGAAAACACAGAAGATAACAATTAATCTTGCCTCAAACATGGCAAAACTTCTCTTGCTGTCTTTCCATAGAGCCGTTGTGCGTGGCTGCATGTACAGATTGATCATGGAATACTGAGAGAAAGGGAGACAGCGCTAGATTATCTGAATTCTCCTTGTCTGATCAATTTCATCAGAATCTACCTTGGAGCTGAAGCCAATTAACATGTGCTATAGATGAAGATTTGGAGTCATAAATACTCAGAAGATCTGAAGTACTGTGGAAACTGATGTGAAACATGTAAGTAAACAATAATTGTTTTTTTTTTTTTGGAAATGAATAATAATTTGAACTTTAACCTTGCTACTCGTAAACTTATGTTTCACCAAATTAGATTCTTAGAAATTTCCATTAGAAGTTTATGTAATAGCAAGTGATTACAAACGAGATTAAAAGGATACTTGCAAGCAACAACAAGAATAAGAATGTAAAATTAATGGCAATGAAATCAAAATCCACGGCTTAACAATGAGAAATGTTCACCCTGAGTTCCCTCACTCTTGCTATTGAAATTGGGGTTTAGCGGAGAAAGGGTAGAAGTAACCCTAGTGATGTCACCACAAGACAAGTGATGTATAAGGTATTGTTCGTCGGAGAAGTAGCCGGAGAAGGGGAAGTTGATTGTCGGCCGACGATTTGCCAATTCCCAGTTGGTCGTTGCTCGCCAATCGTCTCGGCGAGATGATAGAGTATGCGATCTACGTAGCTTTCCACTAAATCCTAGTATACCCAGTCTGGATCAAAGAAGGGCGACAACAGGATGTCGATTGCCCTTGGGAGTTGTATGCAAACCCGTGGTTGACTTCAAGATTGGCCATTCATGGAGGCGACGTCGGTTTGTTGGACTCGATCCTCGAAGGATTTGTGTTGGAGGAGAGGCTATGAAGGTGAGAGGAAACGGGAGGGTTTCAGCTAGGTTAGGATGGGGCTCCAAGAGATGGAGATAGGGAAAGGAAGATTAAAGGTTGTAGGAGAAATCTGAAATTTTAATTTCAGATTCTATGAGGAGGGAAGCTTTTTTGAAATTCAAAACTCTTCCAAATTTGGAGCTTAAAAGGGGTGGCGGCTATGAGGGATTTAGGGAGGTATTAATTTGGGTTTGAGAATTAATGGGAAGAGAGGCGGTTGGACCGGGGGGGGGGGGAGATTTTGGGAGATTTAAAAGCTTCTTAAATGAGTTATCTAATTTAGGAATATAAATATTAAATCAAATCTAATTTAAATTAGAATTAGGTTTAAAACTTTCCAAAATTAGAAATGGTCATTAAAGAAAGTATTTGAAATTCAAATAAAAATACCTTCCAAAGTTACTATGGGTATTTTAGGAAAGCAATTAATGGAGGTTTGAATTTTGAAATTCAAAATTCATGTGGTTTGGGAAGGGGAACCGGCGGCTAGGGGGACCAATGGGAGACCGGCGGCTATTGGAGTGGATGGCCGGCTGGCGGCTATGGGCCAAGGTGGCCGGTGGTGGGGTTTGGGGTTTCAGGTAGGGAAGAAGCCAACGAGAAAGGTGGTGATGGGGAAAACATGAGGTGGTTGGCGGTGTGGGAAAGAATGAAGGGAAAGAAATAAGAAGAGAAAGGAAGTGAAATCGAACCGAGAGCCCAAAACTTTCGGCGGCTGTTGGGCATTACGTTGGCCCTCTCCTAGGGTTCTCTCGTCTCTCCGAAGCACACAAGCAACAAGAGCAAAGAAAAGCTGAATTTTTTTTAATTGATTCATCATTAACCTCATACAAAGCAAAAGACCTGTATATATAGATCTCAATAATAAAGAAAAGAAGAAAGACTCAAATGTCCTCGGGGCTACAATGAGAACTCACTACCCATAGGGGTAAACTAGGAAAACTGAAATGCAAAATAAATAAAACATAAAATACATCAAAAGTAAAGACTCTGAATTGTAGCCGTCGATCTATGATTCCGTCGATGGTACACATGTCGAAATCTCTGGGTGATATCCCCATCAGAAACATTAAGAAACTCTTTGCTTTTTCAGCGTTCTTTCAGCAAGCTATCATGATTAGTGCCCCAATGATAAGAGTTAAATTTTTCTGATTTATATCGTGGAGCAAATTGCAATGATAAAATGTTGTTTTTTCACTTCGGATCTGCTGGAGTTTTTATGCATTTGCTTAAATGCACTACCCTATGAGTCTATTAAATGTCTTTTAAGCTGTAGAAAAATATCATTCCATGCAACATGTTTTTAACTCCCTCTGGCTACCTTGTCTAGCTAAGCGGAACATTATTTATTAACATTATGATAGAAAGTACTTGAATATTTCAAGTAAAATCTAACACTATTGGTAAAAACAACAAAAACAGTCCACAACTCCAATGGAAAACAACAAAAACAGTAATTTTATTGGAAAATCTGAGGGAAAACGCTTGAAATTCACTAGTAGAAGAAGAAAAACAGCAACATACAATTGATCCTCTATTCAAGAGGAGGATCCATCTCTCCCAGATCTCTAGACATAGCTAGAGCCCAAAGAAAACCTAAATCTAGGAGATCTCAAATTTCAGCCAAATTCAAGATGTCTTAACCCTAGGAGAACAAATTATTTAATGCATACAAATCAAAAGGAATTCCCTAAACAGGCCCTACATTCAAATTCTCCCAATTCCCTCAAAAAACCTTCCAAAATACCTCCCATGGATCTCGCGGCATGCGCAGGAGGCAAAGAAGTTCCATCTCTGTTATGCTGGGCCGGTCCCATGTGGACCGGCTGGACCGGTCTAACACATTACTGCCACAAGATTTGTCTTTACTCATCTGTTTTCAAACATAAATGGGAATCACTTGCCCATGTCCCTTGTGACAACAAAATCAGCTATTGTTCTCGTCACTCAACTTATTCAACTTTTATTGAAAAACATCAGTTTAATTTGTCTTTAATATTCTCTCTTTTTTCTTTGTTTCCCTTTGTTCCTCTCTCTTGTCACGGGGGAGCAGCATCGGAACTCTTCAACAATACTAGATATCTCCAATCGGCTTGTGCTATGCCTTATAAACTAATTTTTGGAATCTATGGGCTTGCCTTTTAATGGATGTCATAGCAAGGTATGTTATGTTTTCTTTCCCTTTCAATGTAATAATGTTCTATTTTATTACTGAATTAATGAATGATATTTTTCAAGAAACGTTGTAAGATGTAAAAGCTACTTATGGGGATTGCGATGAACTTGAAATGATGTGAGAATGAGGCAGGCAGATTCTATAGTTTAATCGTACGGTTGCTGTATCTGTGGATTATATATTTATGATAACAAGAAAGATGATTTTTTTTCTAAATCTTCGTTAGTTTTGACTGTATCTTCGGTGGTTTGGCCAAGAACACACTTTGTGGTCATTGTCTATTAGTGCATGCGGCAGGTGTGGCAAAGGAGGGCTTTGGAACAAATTCAACAGAATAATTGATAAAGCATCAACAATTAATGAAATTGCAGGACGGATGGACCAGGAATGGAAATTACATATCTCAACTTACATTGCATATTCTAAGTAAGTGCTTCAATTTTGCTAGTAAATAGATTCCATAAAATTTCTCAATACATGTAATATATTCATATTTAAACTGTTTGACGTCTGTATTGCTTGAGATAGTAAATGGCAACTGCGGATAGTGTGCAGTTACGGTGAGCTTCTGATACTATAATAACTATAAGTGCACGTAAATAGTAATAGTAATAGTAATATTGAGGAGGAGGTAATTAAAGGTGTTATTATTTTAGGACAGAAAAGGGAGTTATGCTTGTAAAAAAAAGAAGAAACTTGTCACGTTCTATTAACCTTTTTATTGTATGGTATGATTTTGTGGTAGCATACCGTAGCTAGACTATGGTTGGATGATAGTTATGGTGTGATATTGTACCACATTCAACAACTGGTTAGAGTTCTCTGGAATTTCTTACTCGTTGATTATGTATGATATTATAATACCGTATCTAAGATTCTAAGTGAAAATTCTATTGCTAATAAGGTAACGTGCTGGTCAGAAGCAGATAGATGAAGTAAAACAATAGGATATTCAAATGTGATGAGGTCATGAGTTGATGGGAATATAGAAAAATGAGAAACGTTTGAATAAGAGAATATTTGGGAAGGGAATCATTATGTTATTATTTGATATCTGATGTAGTGGTACCAATGGATGGTTTCAGATCAGGTCAAACGATATGATTCCTACCCTTGTATTGCTTGATTAATTCTAGAATGAGTATTTGTTAACTTAAGAGAATTAGAGAGGAAAAAGACTTGATTTTATTGCACAAAATTATCCCTATTTATAGATTTATACAAGATATCTTAATAAAGAAATAAATAGCTATAGAATCATGCATAATTATCCTAATATAATCCTTTCTAAATCAGCCACTCAAATATGGAAGGAGATCAGCGTGATCTGGGTGAGCCTCCCAAGGATCCCCATGATGGCTGTGGGATTGAGGGTCAAGGGATGACTGAGATTTTAACACTCCTCCCATGGATCTCCATGCCAAACATGAGATCAAGAGTTGAGGGACGGTTGGGATTTAACACTCCCTCTCAAGTTGGGGAATATAGATTTGTCATTCTTAGTTTGAGAATTAGTCCCAAAAAGGTACAAACCCCCTGGTAAGAATGTCTGCAAGTTGATCTTTTGATGGGACATGATAGATACACATATAAGATCACTGCCCAATTTCTCCTTTATGAAATATTTGTCCACTTCTATATGCTTGGTCATGTTATGCTGAATCAGATTGTGAGCTATGCTGATTGCTAATTTGTTGTCATAGTGTAGCTTCATGGGTCCTTCCAATTGATCATTGGGTCGTCTAGAATCATCTTGATCCATATTAGTTCACATATTCTTAAGGTCATTTGATGAGGACATCCGACCGTGGAGAGTCTATCAGAGAAGGAGCAGGAGATCAACAGCTACGATTAGGCCATTTTAGTTTTGATCATCTATTTATATTTGATTTTATTATGTATCTTTTCCATTTTTACCCTCACTTGAGGGAGTAGGCTTATGTGACCCTAAGGGGTACTTATGTCACCTGACATGTTATTGTATTTTGTCTATTTATAGACCCCTCTCCTTCTTTGGGGAGGATGATTATGATGATAAAAAAGTTTTTGCATTTTGTTTTTTGGAGAGTTGTGAGAGTTTGAAGTCCCTTGATGAGGGCAAAACACTACCCATCAGCCGCAGGAAGCGTTCGAGCTCGTGGTTTATCTCCATCTCAATTTCGTCTTGCTATTTTCCTCTGGTCACCGGTCCACTCCTTTCCCTAGCCACCGGCCACTCCACAACCCATCCCTTGGCTGCCTCCCACCCTAAACCGCCGGCCCCCTTTCCCTCCTAGCAGCCGGCCATCCACCTCTTTCCCATTACGTCCAAAATTTCAAATCAAGTAATCATACTTTTCATATTTGACGCATCTTAAATTAGGAAAGTCTTAAATTCAGATTTTAATTCATTTGAATTTGAACTTTCTTTTTTAAAATAAGATGAGTTATGCTAGGAAAGTCCTCCAATCATGCCAACTTGAATTTAAGTAGAGATTTGTCATAATTCTTCCATCCTTAATTAATATTATATGTTTGGGAAGTCTCTTAACTCTCCAAATCAACTCCCCCTTCCCTCTTTTGAGATTTATTATAATCCATCCTTCCTTAAGCAATATTCTATGTTTGGCAAGTTTCTTAACTCCCCCAAACCAATTCCTCCCCTCAAGCTACCCGCCACCCCCTCTCTCTCCCCTCTTTCCCCTTTTGCTCTTTCCAATTAATTCTCACCAATTACTCACTCTCTAAATCGAGAATAAATTCCCCTCCCCATGGCCACAACTCCTCCTCCAATGTTGCTAACTGCTGCTCCTATGCTTCCATAGTCAGCTATCTAGTTTTCTCACCCTAATATCAACTACTCCAAGATTTGAGCCTTACATGATTGCTATCCATATGTCTAGAACAAGTGGGATTGCTGTCCATATTTTTTTTGGACGATGTCGGATGGCTGTCCAAATGTCCAGAAAATGTTAGATTGTCGTCCCGACGTGTAAGAGAGGTTCTTATTGCTGCCCTCCCCTCATAAGCACTCAACGACTTTGCCGGAGCTTAGCATCTTCTTCCTATGGGTAAACTCTTTCTGACCCCTCCCCTTATACCTATTTATCCTCTCTCAACTGTGGCATCGTTTATCGTGAAAGTGTCCCCGCTTAAAACCCTACCAAGAATATTGTGCGAGTGGATCTTTATAGTGACTAATCTAATTGTTAATTTAGGGATCTCTTTGAACGCCTCACATTAGCTTGACATAATTTTAATTTGATCATGTAACTATTTCCTTGATCTTAATCCTTATCTGGTTGACTTAAACATTTGCTAAGAACACGAAAAGTTAATTAATTACAAAGCTCTACTCATGTAGGTGTAACTTTCATATCAATCACATTTGCCTATACATGTAGTCCTACATCACCATCGCTCTGAACTCTACTTCTGCACTAGATCTTGTCACCACATTCTGTTTATTGCTCCTTCATGCAATAAGGTTTCCTCCAACTAATGTCCAGTATCCTGAGGTAAATCGTCTATCTACTGGTGATCTTATGTAATCTGCATCAATATATGCTTTTGGTTTTATTCCACATTCTCTTTTGAACAAAATCCTTTTTACTAAATTCCCTTAAGGTAGTGCAATATTCTATCTATTGTCTGCATGTGAGTCTGCTTTAGATTTTGCATGAACTGGCTGACCATGCTTATAACAATGGCTATATCTGGTATAGTGTGGGAAAGGTAGATCAATTTTCCCACAAGTCTTTGGTAAGCTACCTTATCTACGTCTGGATTCTCTTTAGCTTCCCTTAATTTGAGATTTAGTTCTACCAGTGTTGATGTTGGTTTACAAGCTAGTTTACTCATTTTCAGTCTCCCCCTGAAGATGAGGTTTGGTGAAATAAGGTTTTTGTTCATAAAAAATGACTTCAACACATACAAGGGTTTTTTTGGTGGTGGGGTGATAACACTTATGACTTCCATGAATAGATGAATATTTGACAAAGATACATTTTAGAGCTTTTGGATCTAATTTTTCTTTATTTTGATTGTGAATGTAAACGACATGAGGGCTTGCGGAGTTCGGCGAAATCGGTATGATCAGATGGAGGCTGGGGCGTCAGGAGCGGGCCGTTCTATAAAGGCGGAGACGGGCCGTCGACGAGAGCGGGTAGGCTTTGCACGAGATCTGATGTGGGCGACATAGGGTGTTCCGTTGGATTCAGGCAAGGCCGCGGAAGACAGATGAATGAGAACAAGAAAGTGAAAGTAGGAGAACCGCTTCCTCTTTTTTTTTTTTTTTGGCGTTTTGCTCTATATTTAATGACCGGTTTACTATAAGGCAGTTATCATTGTCGAGCGTTGTATCTTTTGGTGTTCAATTTCTTAAGGCAAGACCGACTCAGACTCACGAAGAGAGATACATCTCTTCAATTTCTATTTTATTTTTATTATTTATTTATTTTAAATTAGCCAATAAAGTCAAACTGTACAATGCGATCTGTATTGTACTATGATGTGTTTGATATATTTGGTAATTCTAAAATATCAAGTTGTATTTATTATGAAGCTAGGACGAGCCTCAAAAGATAATGTGTGCCCTAATGTGTTATATGCCAACAATCTCTAACGACACCAAGAGATTGTGGGCAAAGTTAGAATGGGTACCTGTTGGCTTGCCATTACTCACCTGCGCCTCACCTGATTTTGGAAAGGAACGAGAAGGCTAGAAGAATCCTTGAAGGTTCGATTTTGTTAAAAAAACTGAATTGGGTGAGCCACTTGGAATCGATTAGGGTTTCATTAAGTTTAACTTGACTCGATTTGACTTGATCCTTCTCCATTAAATTTATTTGACTCGATTCAACTCAATTGAGCTTAATTTGACTTGATTCGGCTCTATTAAGTTCACAAAGTGACTTCTAGTTATGTAAAATAGGAAAGACCAATGGTGGCATGGACTTATGCATTTATATGTCCATGCACAATTGCATGTGCAATAGTTAGCAGTTGTAGGACACTAACAAATGCTGCACAAAATATCATGTCGTTTGGTCTACGACGTCTCATTTATTTTGGATAAACGACGTACATTGTATGATTTCATTTGTTTTATGTAGTTGAATTTTAACCCAACTAATATTCAATTTATTTGAAAATCTTGGATGACTAAATTATTATTAATCAAACTAAATCTACTTAACTTCGTAGGTTTGATCGTTTGTTCAATGCACTTAAACCATACAGTGCACACTTTATGTGTAAAATGCATGTGTTCAATTTGCTTCTTGCTTTTAAGTTCATTAATTGTGGTTTTCCATATAGCTGAAAATGGCTGCTAATTATTCCCACCTAGGTGTAAATTTTATAGATGAATGGAACTTGATGCAGCATCCAAGACCGACCCATTTAATAAACTGGTCAAATGCATGACCCGAGCCCAATTCATTTTTTAAACGTGTCAACTCGAATCTGGATTTTTCTGATCGGATTCGAATCGGATTATTTATTGACACTATTTGGGCCGAGTACCTACATCTGCTTCAGCTGACAAAGTTCTTGCTTTGAAGCCGCCCCAACAGCCAGAATAAAAACAATCCCTCTTGGGAATGACTATTGATTGCCCATGAAAGGCCAAAGCTTTTACAAATACAAATTGTATAATGACTTTTTTTATTTTGGGCGAAGTTCATAATTAGCAATTGTACTTGCCTACCATTATTCTTTCTGTGGAACTCCTGAAAATCCAAGGATGAATTTCTAAATGGAACTTTTTTATGCACACTAAATTATGATTTATGTATAACTTTTTGAACTTGTTATCTGAAACATGTACATGTCAAATTTCCCCTTAGATGCCAACATATTAGGCTCACACCAAGGAATGAGGGCTGCAAATTGGTTGAAATGTTTGAAGCTGTTCGGTCTGTGATATTCTGTGTAGCCCTCAGTGTCTATGACCTGTATGGAGCTCCTGCGCCTGGAAGTAATAAGTCTATTATGAGCAACTAATTATTCTGTGCGGACACCGGACGGGGAGAATCGTCCGGATTTGCAGTATTTTCACTATCCTTTTGCTGCGCTTTTGCAAAAGGACAGCAAAAGTGCAACAAATATTTAATATTTATTAAATAATTGAATATTTGTTGCGCTTTTGCAAAAGGGCAGTAAAAAAACATTCATAATTGAATATTTGATGCATGTTTACTACCCTTTTGTAAAATCTCAGCAAAAAGGCAGCAAATCCAGACGGTTCTCTCCGCTGGTGTCCGCACAGAATAATCTCTTCTTACCAACAGGATGCTACAGAGCATGGATTGTTTGAGACTACCGTCAGGTAAGAGGCTCTGCTCTCTTGATTATAAATAGGTGTATATACTTCTGATGAATTAACATTTTTAATTAGGCCTCATTTGGTTGCTTGAGTTTGAAAACATTTTTTTTTTTTGGGACTTAAATGGCAAACTCACACACACAACGCATACACAAAGACTCGAACCCAAGACCTCTTAGTTGGAAGCCTAAACTCTCAACCAACAAGATAAGGTGAGCTGTGTTTGAAAACATCTTTTGAAAATGGTGATTTTATTTGGATAAAAGTTAGATGAGGATATTTGAACGTAATTTGGTCATTATGCATTTAAAAGTTTTTGAATTTTCTTGATAATCTATGAATTCCATTTTTTTTAAAGCAAATATTCTATCACAAATCTTTTTTCGTTTGTTTTCATTGCTCTGCCTGTGAAAACAAAATCATCATATTTGAAAAAAAAATGAAATATTTATTAAATTTAATATTTAATGAAATATGTTAAATCACCATTTTCTTAAATCGTGTGTTCTAACTTCTCGCAACCAATTTGGCGCTTAGTATCAGTTTGGGACAACTTTTTCACAATTTTGTTTTTCAAAAAATTGCTAGTGTGGTTTGGCTGCAGCTTTATTGGTTTTCTTAAAACCTTTTGTAATGTGTATTAAAGCATTGTCACGTCTACTGTTATTTGTCCTCACTTGTAATTATTTGTCTGTCATAGTCTATATATAGTTCTCTCTCTGTACGCTTGAACAGATAGAATTCAATACAATCTTTATTTTCCTTCTTCCTGTATCTCCTGATCTTAACGCCATTTCAAGATTTCATCATGGTATCAGAGCATCAAGGCTTCACAGCCATTCTCTGATTTCCGGCATCCCTTTCTTGCTTCCGTAGATTCTCTTCCGCCCTAGTTGTTCGTCCAAATGGCAGAAGAACTTTCCACTGGATCTCGCCGGACGACGTCCTGCACCACCAATCAAGAATCGGAATTCTTTATTCCACCCCACCTCAAATTTCTCATCTCAAACATCAAAAACCTGGTTCCAACTCAGCTCACCACGGACAATTACGCTATATGGAAATTACAACTCTTCCAGCACTTCTCTGCTAACGGATACGAGAATCATCTTGACGGAACGGCCATCGCTCCTCCACCATCCGACGTCGAAGCTCACAACAGATGGGAACTCACGGATAGAAACCTGGTGTTCGCTATTCTTTCCAATGTATCGTCATCAATTCTTCCATACGTGCTGAATCTTCACAGCGCTCATGCTGTCTGGACCACCCTAGAGCGCCGCCTGCAACCTACGAACCGCTCTCGAGTTATACAACTCAAGAACGAGTTACACCAGATTCAAATGAAAGATCGCACGATGCATTCAATATCTTGATCAAATCAAGAATATCGTGGACAATATAGCCGCCGCCAGCTTCACTGTCGACACAGAGGACATCGTCCTCTACATCTTGAATGGACTACCCAATGGCTACAACTCATTCAAGACTGCCATTAGAACATCTCTCCAACCCATTAGCCTGGACGATCTTTACTCATTACTGTGTAGCGAAGAAATCAATCTTCACCACCAGAATCTTCAAGATCAACGTCAGATGGAGGCAACGACACTTCTGGCTCAACGTCATTCAAACTATCGGGGGAGGTCCAACAAATCGCGTAACTCTTCCACTGCACCCCGAACCCCGATGATCGTCGACGGTCAAGAATCATCAAGAACCCCTACCACTCGTCCGACTTGTCAAATCTGTGGTAAGCGTGGGCACTCAGCCGGAAATTGCTGGCATCGCTGTAATTTGAGCTATGCTCCTCCTTCCAATCAGCGGGCTCTCTCAGCTCAGCAACAAAGTACAAAAAACGATTGGATTCTGGACTCCGGAGCATCCTCGCACCTAACACCTGACATCACGAACATTCAGAATCCAACGGTGTACAACGGGCTGGACTCTGTTTCCATCGCCAATGGCTCCAATCTCCCAATTCAGCACTCGGGTCAGGGCATCCTACCTTTACCCGAGTCCAATCGTAAGCTTCTTCTTCGCAATATAAGTCACGTACCTTCTCTCTCACACAACCTCATTTCTGTTTCCAATTTGGCCGCTGACAATAACCTATCAATTTCTTTTAACGCTAACAAGTTTACTGTTAAGGATTGTCAGGACAATCAGATACTTCTTCAAGGTCCCAAGCACAATGGACTCTATCGAATCAAAGTTCCTACTCGCAATAGCTCCACCGCGCTCCTTTCCACTCGCTCGTTCAACTTTACTTGGCATAACCGGCTCGGGCATCCCAGTGCAGGCACCATTTGTCATCTTGCCAAACTTATTCCTGAGGTTTCAAGGCGCTCTACTGATCTGTGCGTTGCTTGCAACATATCCAGAAGTCACAAATTACCCTTAAATAACAGTATTTCTACCTGTAATAAACCGTTTGAACTTGTTCATTCGGACGTCTGGGGTCCGGCCCCCGTTTCTTCTATGACCGGTTTTACATACTATGTGATATTCATAGACGTTTTTTCTCGTTTGACGTGGTTGTATCTTTTACATACTAAGAATGAAGTTCTTGAAAAATTTATACACTTTCATAACTTAATAAAGAACAAATATAATACAGCTATTCAGACTTTTCGGTCCGACGGCGGAGGAGAGTTCCACAACATTGCCTTTCGCAACTACTGCTCTCAACACGGCATTACACATCAATTTAGTTGCCCGTACACACCCGAACAAAACGGCACTGCGGAGCGGAAACATCGGCATCTCATGGAGCTCACCCGAACGCTTGTTCAAGCTACTCACCTCCCTAACTCACTCTGGGCTGTAATTATTTCCACGGCTAACTACTTGATCAACCGGTTGCCCTCCTCCTCGCTAAACAACTTAACTCCATACTTCAAACTTCACGGTACTCCCGCAACGTACACACATCTTCGCACCATAGGCTGTCTATGCTTTCCTTGGACTAAACCACACACAGCAAACAAGTTCTCTACTCGTTCCCTTGAATGCGTTCTTGTGGGCTACTCTTCTCAGCACAAAGGATACCGCTGTCTAGGCTTGCACAACAACAAACTATACATATCCAGACATGTGGCGTTTTATGAAAATGTCTTTCCTTACTTACAGAAACAGAGGCAGAACATTACGAGCAATTCTCCCCACTACTCGTCTCCTCTGCTCCTTGTTCCTTCGTCGACTTTTAATAACTCCATTTATTCTTCTCAGGTACAACATCAGTTCGGTCTAAACCACAATTCATTACCCTCTACCCCACGGGTCACTTCTCCTCCTTCTCAATGACCCAACATCTCGCCTCCACCACCGCCTCCAAGACATCCAATGCAAACCTGTCTCCGTTCTGGCATCTCGAAACCGAAGGCCATCTTTGATCTCTCCGCCACAGGCTCAACTCATCAGGTCCCCACATGGTACACCGAGGCTGCAAAACATCTAAAATGGCGGGAAGCCATGTCCAGTGAATACAATGCCTTGCACAAGCAAAGTACCTGGTCCTTAGTTCCGTCTCCCCCAGGCAAACCAATCATCGGCAGTAAATGGACATTCAAACTCAAACTTCATCCTAATGGTGAAATTGACCGTTACAAGGCCAGACTTGTCGCACTCGGTTGCTCTCAAGAGTTTGGCATAAATTTCACCGAAACATTTAGCCCTGTCGCTAAAATGGTCACAATCCGACTTCTACTCACTGTTGCTCTTCATCATGCATGGCCCGTCCACCAATTGGATGTATCAAACGCTTTTCTTCACGGTGACTTGACCGACGAGATCTACATGAAACAGCCACGGGGTTTCGAAGATCGCCAACATCCTCAATACGTATGCAAACTCAACAAATCTATCTATGGGCTGAAGCAATCTCCGCGAAATTGGTTCACCAAAATCACGAACTTTCTCCTCTCAATCGGTTTCGACTTCAGCAAGGTCGATCCTTCCATTCTTCTGTTCAACAAAAACAACATATGTATGTACATTCTTATTTACGTAGACGACATCCTAATCACCGGCAACAATACCGCAGCCATCCAATCTACTCTCAGCCAGCTTCGTTCCACATTTCAGATAAAACAGCTCGGTGAAGTTTCGCTGTTTCTCGGCATCCATGTGATCAAAACTAAACAAGGTTATTTTCTAGATCAGTCACACTATGCAACCGAACTTCTTTCCCATGCAGGTTTCCTCAACTGTAAACCCTCCAGCACTCCAGTTCTAACCAAACAATCAGGCAAATTGGACGAACAGCCCTATTCCGACCCCAAGCTCTTTCGTCAACTTGCAGGATCGCTTCAGTATCTTTCAATAACCCGACCGGACATTGCGTTCGCCACCAATGCGGTCTGTCAACAGATGCATCATCCTCGAAACTGTGATTTTCAGGCTCTCAAACAACTACTCTGGTACATTAAAGGCACGATCGACTTCGGTCTTCCTATCACAACGGGTGAATTATGTCTTCGTACATACGTATATGCAGATTGGGCCGCCGACTCCACAGACCATAAATCGATATCTGGCTTTTGCACGTTCTTAGGCAATAATCTCATTTCTTGGTCGGTTAAGAAGCAAACAACGGTCGCTCGCTCCTCGACCGAAGCAGAATACAGGTCTCTCTCCGCTGCCACCTCAGACATTTTATGGATTTGACTGCTTGCAGCAGAATTCGGCATCTCTTCTCTCCGTCCAACTACTATCTATTGTGATAACACCTCCGCCATTGCCCTCGCCAATAACCCAGTTTTTCACACTCGCACGAAACACATCGAGATTGACTACCACTTCATTAGCGGGCACATCAAGCAAGGCGCCATTCAAATTGATCATATTTCAACTACAGATCAAATAGCAGATATTTTAACGAAGCCTCTATCCACAACTCAGTTTAGTACTTTAAGATCCAAATTAACCATTCATTCAAGGAATGCTTAATTTGAGAGGGGATATTAAAGCATTGTCACGTCTACTGTTATTTGTCCTCACTTGTAATTATTTGTCTGTCATAGTCTATATATAGTTCTCTCTCTGTACGCTTGAACAGATAGAATTCAATGCAATCTTTATTTTCCTTCTTCCTGTATCTTCCTGTATCTCCCGATCTTAACGCCATTTCAAGATTTCATCAATGTGAACAGTTTTTTTCAGCCAATTCTTAGTGTAGTTGCTGCAAGAAAGTTGTTCAATATTTTATAAGAGAAATATATATATATATATAAACTCGCAATAATTTTTTAAAATTTGATTTTCTCTAACATTTTTACAGCACCTTTCACAGTTAGCTATATAGCTGTCCATAAGATCCTAACATCAAAATAATCATGCATGTGATTCGGATCAATACTTTGTTTTGAACAACTTTTTTATGCTTCTTAAAATAGTTTTTCAGCTAAAAAATATTGATTTTTATACTAAAAATTTACTTCAATAAACTGCAAAAAAGTCGTTCCAAGGTTTTGTTTGGAACAACTTTTTTACTGCTTCTTAAAGTAGTTTTCTAGTACAAAAATTAACAAGTCTTGTGTTCAACAAGTATGATTATTTTTGAGGAGAAAATTAACAAGTCTCCCCTTGTGTTCTGTGATTACTCCAGTGGTTTCTCTTCAAAGACGAACCACAACAACCAATCCTTGGCTCAATTGGCTTGCTACTACATGGCAATGAAGTTGACGGATTTCTACTTCCATCACCAGCTGCAAGCAGGTCCGAGGATGAGAAGGATGAAACCAATGTAGTTGAAGAATTTTTTTCCATTGCGTCGCTGAGATCGAACTCATCACAGTTTATTAGGTAGGAATAATGTTATAGACGAGCTTAAGAACAACTGTATGTTGTCTTTGTTTGTAAATTTATAGAGATTGAGTAGTTTAGTATTGACAAATAGGTGCTGGTTTTTACAGTATATCTGAGATTTGGAAACAGGACATGGCGTACACTGTAAGATATGTTGTATTTTCCTTATTTTACTGGTGATTTACTTCTGATTCTTTTACATTATATTTATATTAATCCTTTGGGCAAGCATATGGTAAACTCAAGAGATAAGTTTTGTTGCAGATCAGAATATTTCCAATGTATGTATAGTACGGTGACATGTATCTTGTGTAGCTGTTTATATGCGCATTCAAATAACAACTAAAGGGAGGGCAACCCTAAACTTCTCTCTCTCTCTCTCTTATATTATGTGTGGACACCGAACGGTTTAGAGATCAATCAGAACGCTCTAAGTCACCCGGTATCGAGCAAAAAAGGGAAGTGGCTTATTATGATTGATCTTCAGACGTTGTACTGTGTCCGCACAGAAAAATTTTTCCTCTCTCTCTCTTTGATGCAACTATTGATCAAAGTTCGAGCAAAATAAATATTTGTTTGGGATAGCTTTCTTATTGTTTCATTTTTCAGATTACAATTATAGTTTTTATTTGATAATTGTTATTTCATTGATTTTGTGTTAGGAAGTTGCTTGCTAGAGTAGTTGTCAAAACAACTGCCCTTTCCACAATAGTTTGACAATCATCTTTATAAAAAATTGTGGCAGTAATATTAAATGAGTGAATGTTCGCGTCTGCGTTATGAACTCCTCATACGATAATATTAAGGATATTTTTCAACTGAGATGGATTTCAGGTATATTTCTCAACAAATAAGAGGACATATTCCTCCTGTGCTATTATGAGGCATATATGAAATACTTCAACAATTTTTTTTGAGGATAAGATGTTGAAATCATGTCATTTTGTTGCATCCCTCTTCAAACCCATCTCATTGCAACGAAAATTTATTACGTGCGGTGTTCGGATGCGCCCGGAGGTCAATCTGGATGTGTCACGTCATTCAATGCACCGCGTCATCCAATGCACAGTGCATTGGGTGATGTGGTGCTTTTGGATTGACCTCCGTACATGCTTGAACATCACTCAGAATAATCTCTCCATTGCAACATACATGTATTGCCATATTGGCCTCTTTATGCATTCCATCCATTCTCTATATAAACCGTTCACTATAAAAGGAAAATAATATGATTTCTTAATGCATTATTTCTTTTCATTGGTCGCTAGAAATGTACTAGATTATTTAATGGGTAAAGGTTCAAGGCTCTATGGAAAAAAAAAAAGAAAAAAGTAATCAAACTATTTATTAGTCAATCATATTAATATGCATCAAAATATTTTTTTAATAAAAATGATTTAATTTATAATTTAAATATATAAAATTATGGATGCTCATATATATAAAAATATATATATGGTGGTTAAAATTTTAATTGCTTTATCAATCATTTTAAAATAATATTATGCTCATTTAAATGTTTAGCATTTGTAAACTTATGTCTCATGGGGCTAATCTTCATCGATGCAAATGTCTCTAATGTTTGAAAGGCCTAGAATGACTCATTGATTTGGTCGATATAGACAGGTCGTGTTCGTTATCACGAGTGTCTTTGATAGGCAATGTGATTGCTTCGACCTAATTCTCTTGCTTAATCCTATTAGATATGTATGAAAGCCTATATGAATATTTACAAGTATAAGATTTAATCTTTATTGGATATCATTTTGTAATTTTCATCTCATGACATCATTTATAATAGACTGGTTTTAATTCAACTTATAAAATTTGGTACCCTTCATTGGCTCTCATGATTTTGCATCATTTAAAACTTGTTTCTAATAATATTTTGTGATTAATTGTCATATTAGATATTAGATCTAAAACTCATATATTTATAATACTCCTAAGGTTTATTTAAGTTTATTTTTAATTAAAATCTCATTAATCTTTTTAAATTTTTTATAAAATGTAGTTTATACATTTAACTAAATTAATATCACATTTTAATTTTATTTTTAATACTATCTGAAAATAGTAGTGTATACTCATGTTCTCCTTTTCAGGTGTTTTGATAGGTAGTGACCAAGTCATAATGATGGGCATTACTCTCAGTCTCAGCTACTATGGAGGCTTTGGGGGCACGTACCCTAAGTGGCCCATCAATTAAAAAGCCTATGTCAATTTATATTTTTTAAATACTAAATATTACCTGTAAATGACAAGAAAATGTGACTCTTGTAGGATTCGAACCCAGCTCTTAACTTTCGCAAGCCAACGACTTATTTGCCAAGCCGTAAAGTTAATTTATGGTTTAATACAACTTTTTTTAATTAACTTATCATTAAATATTATAAAAGCATATGAAAAATTTTAAGGCAAACTTTTCTCATATGACATAAATTTAGAAGTAATAACTTATATTCTTGAAAGTTTAAAATATTATTTTACTATAAATTATTAAATAAAGAGATAAAAGAAACCAACAAAAAAAGGATAATATAGAAAAAAATATTAATTTGTGTCATACTAATAAAAATTGAAGGCTTCACTCATACTCTTCGGAGCACATCCCTCAAAGAACTTACTTAGGACTAGAGAGGAACTAGTCCAATAATAGTGATGGGCATCAATTATCCACATTCGACAAGGAGCTCTGCCTACATTTGACAGCCAGGTTGTTCCTCATCTGACAAATAGATCGTAGGTCATCTTAATAAGATTGTACCCCTTAGCTTGTCAAACTCAGTTGCAAGAAAGTGCCTACCTCAGAGAAGTTGCACTCAACTAAATTACTATTATCAGGCTTAGAGACCCTTTATCCCTTGCAAATGCTTCTGCTCGCCTTTCATTAAAAGTATTAAAAGACAACCTCAAGCCTCCTACGATAGTCATCGACAGAGCAAGACAATTCGTTAGCTACTGATCCATCTCCTCTTAGACTTGCCACAAACTCGCCATATGCCTACTCTCACCTCTCAAGCTTGCTCGATGACAAACACCTTGCTTGATCGCCCACTTCACCCTCCTACAACCAATTAGGAAGCGACACATATCCTAAATTAACGTATAGCATAATACGAGTATTATATGTAGCATGTATTTTATTTTTTCTTTATATAGCCTTTATTGTAGCCTCAAAACCCTATGAATAAAGAGTGATGAGGATAGTTTGAGACATTTTGCTTGACATTTTTCTCACATTTGGCTAGAAACTTTAGATCTTTGACCTCTTTTCAATATTTTTTTTATTGAGATGGTTGAGATTATACCAACATACTATTCCTCACTTTATTCTCTCAAATTTATGTACTCCAGATCCTCAATATTTTCTAATTTAGTAGGACTTTACCCACTTAATAAATTCAGATTTAACAAGTTGACTTCAAAGCCTCAACCCTAATCCTCACGTAAGCGCATCAGTTTGGCAATTGAGCTGATTAAAATTAGAGTGACTGACACAGTTGACTTTGGTCTGTTGGTTGGAGGCTTTAGTTACTAATCAAAATATTTTGGGTTTAAAATTAGGATATGTTATGTGATGTGTATGAGTTTGACTTAATAGCTTAAATACCCAAAAAAATTTGAGTGTTAGTTTGGATCGCTTAGAATGACCAAACTACCCATTTCTTAAGCTTTACAAGTCCGTCCGCGCCCTAGCAAATTTCCTCCATCGAGCAGGTCGGATTTACTGGAGTTCCAGGCTCTACTCTCTTCTTTCTGGCCTCCCGCAGGTTAAACCTTCCACTCGCTCCTAATACCTTTACTGGATGATTTATCATTCATTATATGGTTTTGATCCGTTTATTATTCCCCTAATTTTCCTCGATTCTGGATGGCGCGTGTGATGCTTCTGAAGTTTGATTTCGTTTTACTAGTTTCCTAACCTGCAGAAAGGCGGTTACATTGATATCTTGAAAATTTGTTGTTTCTATTGGAGAATTTGGTCTCTGATCGTGTTATTCAGGTCTAAGTGTTTTGTTGTTATCTCTATTTAGATTCGTGAAGAATAAACATTCGTAAATAGTGATGGCGAAGTCCACCTCCAGTGACGTTCTTACTCTTATACATTCTTTGCGTTCGGCTTATGCAGCGACACCTACCAATCTGAAGGTATATATTCCACAGAAATAATTGTTTTCCTTTCTCTTGCCTTTGGCAGATGAGGCAGATCTGAACGGCTCCCTCTCTTCTTATATCTGAACGTGTTTTTCAGATTATTGATCTCTATGTGGTTTTTGCAATTGCCACAGCTGTGATTCAGGTATGAAAATTGACTTCATTGTACTGTTTAGTACGTTTTATCACCAAGTCAGAAACTATGCTTATGTAGTTGATTTTTTGCCAGGAATGATATGTGCAATAGCTTTTCCTTACAGGCATAAACAACATTCTTTTTTTTTTTTTTCAGATCTTGTTTAGTTAAGTGATTTCAGATTAGAGAGAGGTAGATTAGGAGTACAACTTGCCTCCAGAATTAGTTGGAGGTCACAAGTTCAAATAACCAACTAAACTCCTTGTAATTCAGGGCAGGCCTACTCGCATGAAATCTCCTTATAACTCACTATAATTGGAACCTCTTGCATTGATACCCTTCATTTACAAACAAGAAGGAAAATTGTATACCAAGATTTGGTTGAAACCTTGGAATGAATTTCATTGACCTCTTCCTTTTTTTTTTGGTAAGCATTAACTTAATAGACTACATAGGCTCTTTATTAGGAAAAGTTAGAATGGAAAAAAAGTTCACGTTTGTTTATAAATATTAACCGTAATCACCAACATTAGTCAATATTTTTCTAGTATGTACGTATAACTTTATCTTGTAGTGGATTTATTTTTGAATTTACACTAAATGCACCCTAATTACTATGCTATAATATAATATGGAAACTGATCTTGCCAAAGATAACTAATGTATAATAGACTTAATATCATAGTAATACTTAGCTTGTAGAGCTATGATTATTTGAACTCAATCCAATTTTACCCCCTTTCATCATTGAGTTGAGGAGTTTATCTAGGAATGTCTCCTTGCTCATTGGTTTTCAATGAAAATTGATAAAATTTTATATTTTTTTGAACCATTCAACCCTAATCACATAGAACCCTGTCTCATCCATATGTACATGCATACATACATGCAAGTACACATGCATTCATGGACATTCATATAATTTTTGAGTTAATGTTGAGCTCACTCAATGTCATCCAGTTGTGGCCTATGCTATGTTCGATTCGAGTGAAGCTTTCACTCATTGATCATCTGGTTTACCCCTAATGGAAACATTGGATGGGATTGAATTTGAATATCAAAGGGATGTTCCTAGTACAAACCCTAAATAGTTCAGGTAAGTTAATGACAATGATAATGATTATGATGATTATAGAAATACTTTCAAAGGGGCTCTTGTAAATGAAGTGCAATGGTTATGCTTTAAAGCTGCAGGGATTAATGATTAGTAGGAGCTTTTTTGTGAATCATCATGGGTATGAAATATTTAGCTGTGATTAGAAAGAAGATATTTACTTGGACAATGATTAACAAGTGTATATTTACTTGTCAGTAATAAAAAAATCATGGTAGGATTATTTCCTTATAACTAGGATTAGCCAAGGGGATAAGCACTTGATCAACTAATCAAAACTGGTGAGAGGACTAATATCTTATCAGTAATTTTGTGCATTATTTGGAAAAACAGGAAGAAACTAAACTAAACAAATATCATTTGGTTTGTGGCGGAAAATCTTTCCTGCATTAGTTTATCAATTTCTATTGGTTTCTAGACTGGAATTGCAATTCTAATATAGCAAGCAACTTTAGAATTGTGTTTAGGTTGTAGACTATATTTTTTATTCATTTCAAATTTTCAATTCAAAATCTTGTTCCAAAGAAAATAGGTTTTGACAAAATTGGGCAAAATTGATTGAAAAAGTTTAATTCCTTTGATTTTGATTAAAGATCAGATTTAGTAACTTGGCGTCCAGCATGCAAAGTCAAAATCGATTGGTTTCACTAGTTTGGTGAGACATAGATTGAACACCATGAAACTATGAAAGATTAGTAAATATTTGATGACTTTATTGTTTTATTTCTATTGGTTAGGCCGGTAGTTAAATAGTAATGTATAAAGATATGGTAGGTTTTTGGATATAATTTAGAACATTAATAAAGACTTGACAGGATAATTAGATTTTAAACAAATATCTATTCTTAAAGGTATATTGCGTGAGTTGTAAATTAACTTCATAATTGTTTTGTTAATGCTTGATAGTGGTTACTTCACGATATGATAGAGGATTGCTTCTTGCTGAGCAAATTAATCCATGATTTGGAAAATTATTATATGTTTTTTAGCGTATGACTTGTTCCTCGCTACTAAAAATGATTAATGGATTATTAAGCTAGTTTGGGGTTAATTCAATAATGTCTTCAAGCTGTCCGAGTATTATTTATGTAGCTTGCCCAACCAAGATGAAATAAATCATTTAGTGGGTTGTGTAATTCAAATTAATCTAATCCCACTCCAAATAGAGTTGTAGCGTATGTCCTAAAAAGAATGTAAAAGATTGTGTTTGATGTACTGCTTTGAGCATTTTGTGCTTTATGAGAGATGACATGCTTAGCTACTTTGTAATGTATTTTCGCACTGCACTACACTTTTATGCGAGGTAGCTTTTAGCACAAATGAGTTTAGAATTAGTTTTAAAAGCTAAGAATTTTTAATTTAAAGGATCTATTCTATGAATTTCTATTCTAGTCATCATCATAATGCAGGTACAATATATGTAGGGATTTTTGTATGTTAGTTCTAATGCAAGCCTATTGCAATAATGATAGGAGTTCCCAAGAGGCAAAAATGGGAAGGAAATGGGTTGGCTATTTTTTTTTTCTAGAAGCTTTAGTGCCCTATACATTTTAGGTATCCCTTGTTGTCTTCTGCTTGTTGTAGATGATGTTTCTTCTGCATTCTTCAGCTATTTCTTGTTGTAAACAACTAAAGTTGCTACATGTTTAATTGTAAATAGAAAATCCTAATGCCTTGTCGGGTGTGATTGATTTTCTGCAAAAATCCAATCAGAATGATCTCTTGCACTGGATAGCAAGTTAGCCTTATTGTATTTGTCTTTGATGAATTCAGCAATATAGAGTGTGGCTTGTGGTTGTTTTCTTGTACAATGATAGAAGGTTTGTAGATTGTGACTACTATGTATGTTCTTGGTGATTGTAGAAAATGACAAAAGGTAGAAAAAAGGCTGGAAGTTTAGCTGGAAACCTGTTGGAGGTTGATCGGTCAATGATTTTGAAGAGGACGTTTGGCTGAATGACTTGAGGAAAGGGTTGGGAATTTGGGAGAATTGGAACTGAATTTATCGCATAAAGTTGTCCTATTTATTGGACATTATAGAAAGGAACCCTATCAAGAATTTATTGAAATTCAAATAGTTTTAAATTAAAAGGTAATTTTATCAAAGCGCATCCTTAATTAAAATTTAAAATTCGAATAGAAACTTATCCAATGCTCCAAAAAAGATAATTATATCAAAGCGTATCTTTAATTAAAATTTAAAATTCGAATAGAAACTTATCCAATGCTCCAAATTTTCGGCCTCTCCCAATCTTGATCAAAAAGCCTTTGGTTGTGGACTCCTGGCAATCTCTTCTTTTATGTTAACATTTGATAATTATCTTTAATGATTGTCTCTCTCAAGCAATCAAACGGTTCCAAATTATTGATTGTCTCAATCTTCTCATTCCTTCACAAATTATTGCACTAATTGTGAAGAAAGCTTTTTCTTATAGACTTATTTGAAGTGGACAGCTAGATTGGCAATCCCCTTCATGATTGGATCCCCTTGTCAATCTTAGTTGAATGGTGGGAGTGGGACAAAAGTTCATGGTTTAATAAAATTCTAGTGAAACAAAGAAGCTCATTCTTAGAAACAAGGCCTAGAACGACCCCATGTATGATGGGGTACATGGTATGCAAAAGATGAGATAAGATGGCTTTGTGCATCTTTTTTTTTTGTCGTTCATTCCTCAATTAATCTGTGCCAATAATAGTAGAAGGTTGTGCATACACAAGAATTAGAATTGTATGTTTCTTAGATCTTTTATATAAAAGTTTGTGGAGATATATAATGATTTAATTTCGCGTGTAAGGCTTTATGAACAAGAGTTATGGTTGCTCATTATGGGGAATATCATGATAGTTTGATTATTATTTAAGAAAAGACTAAAAATGCTAGCCAAGTGGCCAGCCATGTTTTATTGGATTGTTTTTTGTCATGTATTGATCGTAATGTAAATCATCAACATTATCATCATGATCATTAATTTATCTCATCTATTTAGGGGCATTTGACGAGCACTAATTCTTCATTTGTCTTTGTTGATTTGTGTAAGGTATTAAGACCTATCTTGTGAAAAAAAAAATTTGCATAACTTCTATGAATGTTTTCTTATGCATTTCCCTTTCTTCTTAATAATTCTTTGAAATTAGTTCTATTTGTCTATCTTATATATATGTCTTTCACTATTAGTTGTGCATTCCTAAATTATCATCACCGATAGCCTTTTATCAACTGCCTTTTATCAACTATTTGAGGTTGGCTTTATGAATGCTATTTTATAATTCATTCATGTTCAGTGATGTCGAAGGTGTTAAAGCTATTCTTTGCAAGTTATCTTGTATATTCCTAAACCACCTAAATCTATTTGTGTTTATCTTTAATAGGTGCTATGCTCAACCTCCCTCCATTTTAATTATTTCTCAATATCTCTCTCTCTTAATTTTGCTATAAATACCACAACTAACTTTTTTTATTAATTATTATTATTTTTTTAAAATATGAGCATCAGATGATCCATATAATATTTTTGAAAGTGTGAAATAGTTTGCGTTTGGTAAAACTTGTTAAGTTAATATCAGTTAATTGTGGCATGCACATTAGATATTGTAATATGCTTTGCGTATGGAGAACTAGAATCCATCATATTGAAACATTTTTAATAGGGAAAAAAAGGAAGGCTAAAGCTATTTCAAATTTATCTTTTTGAAAGGATTTACTTTGATTTGATTGGACTCCAAATGTGACTCCTAGCTAATTCTTGAGATGAAATATGGTTTATGGTTTATTTTTTGAAATAATATCTTTAAGACGTGAGATTTTGGGACTTCATTTTAAAATATTGAAAGATAAGTGAAATGAATTCTTTTGCTTGTTTATTTTACATATTTTAACTTTCTAGCATATTTTCAT